GGGGTGCAGAAAGTGGGGGTGGAACTGGAAGTAAACCTCCCATACCACCTGTACCCGCATCCTATGACGGTTTTGATTCCTCATTCCGCGGCTCCCTAAGCACTCTTGTCGCATCAGACGACGACCTGTCGACACACATGGGAGCACCAATCTACAGGCCCCACAATGGTTCTCCATCGGCAGGAGCAGCCCTTGGTTGGGATTATCTCTTAAATTGGGGGCCCAATTTTGAAAGTCTTGTGGGTGTTTTCAAGGACATTGCAGAGCTCCCAGACTCGGTGAATAACCGTGCAGCCGTGTCTCTAAGACTTCCAAGTAGTGTTCCCAAACCATCAGAAGAATATGTGTGACATCAGATCTGTTATGTTCTTGCTTCATTCTCTTCATAAGAGAATGTAATAAATTACATGCACATAGAAATTTCTTTGCACACTGAACATTTCGTTATTCAATGATCAGTTTCAACATTTATCATATGGGAATAGGGGATTTGAATCCCCATACTTCAGGGCCGCCGGCTGGATTTAACTCTGGTGGGAGTTGGTGGTACTGGTATGCTACTACAACTTACTGCCAGTACAACTGCATCTAAGCTGAGATGCAAGGCTGACAAAGGTTAAGAGCATTGTTAATTCCTATAATGCACCATTCAGGATACATCAAAAGCAAGTATATTTTTTTGGAAAAATATGAAGTTTTGGTTTGAAGAACGGTAAGAATGTTTTCAAAAGTTATTTTTTTAGTATCTGAACTTATCCCAAAATTAATTAAGTGCCTTGCTTTAGTGTAAGCTAAGAAAGTACAGGAATTGGATGAACAGATCTGCCATCCATTTGTATATTCTGCCAATCAGTTACTGATGCACCAAAGTCCTTCTGTCTGTATATGTGTCAAGAATTGAGAAATTCTATCTGAATACAAAATAATACTGTGTAATAAGTGAAGTTACTGCACATGTTTTGTGAAGTGATCAGAACATTGTCTGTGATGTGGATGAATGTGCTTGAAAAAGCAAAGAGATGCTGCTATCTTCAAAATTCAGGAATGTGTCAAAGAATTTATAGGACAGTTTACAGGTAACATTTATGCTTTCTTAAGGACCTGCAAAATGATAATTAAACTTCTGAGTACTATTAATGCTGTGAAACTGTGGGAGCATGCTTATAAGTCACTAATACATGCATCGTCTCATTAAGTGACTTACAATTCACATGTAGTAGAACTATTTTAATTTTGGTGTAATTGACAGAGCATCCAGAATTTTTGGTGTGTGTTTCTTTTTAATGCACCAAAATCCCTCCCAAAGAAACTTCATAACACTAAAAGACACAAAGAATTCAGGAGCATGAAATTAACCTCAAGCAGAAATGGTACATTCCTGATAATAAATTTCAAACTTTGAAACTAGTTTACTGCAGTTGACTGTGAAACACTGAGATTTATCTTCTAGAGACCTAGTTAATCCAGCTGTGTATTTCGTTGCCGTACTTCTTAAGAGGACGTTATTACCTAGCTAAGCATAACAGTTACAGCTTCCTCTCAAAACCTGTTAAAATGATAGCTGATGTGATTTGCTGCACCGTTTCAACTTTATATTTTGACTTGTCGTAACCCTGTTTCAACTTTATATTTTGACTTGTCGTCCTGTCTATTGATCTGGAAGCATTCAGGTATTAATGTTAATGATTTGATTATTATTTACAAAATTTGTGCCATCCTTTTGTTAGTATGTGGGAGCGTAGTTAATTAGTTTAATGGAACTGTCTTTTTGGAGATATAAAATGTCACACAAACTTACTATTTGACTATAAGACACGTCATGTTTGTAAATTGTTAACAGAGTACAGTAAAAGATTCCACTTAGCTTAAAACTCCGGTCACTTTGTCATATGTTTTCAAGTATAATATTTCACCTATAATTTTTATGAGTTTAAAATATAATTAAACAGTTTACCTTTCCTAATAAGACCATCTGCCTGCCACAGACAATAAGCATATCAGTGTTTCTGGTCTGACCCTTCCAAGACGCCATCACTTAGCAGAACAGCTGTGTGATTGGCCATCACAGCTGATACTCTCTTTTTGTACAAAAAAGTGGAAGTATGTTATACGGTTCTTGAAAAAAGAACTGCCTAAAATGCTTTAAATACAACAAAACTCTACATCCATAATATGTACTCTCTACAAGTTAAAGCTCAGTTGATTCAATAAAACCTTCCAAGGACTTGCCATCCTTAAAAACTATTCATCAGGGATTTATCTAATATGCTAGTGTAATGTAAATGAGCCATTTGTAATAAGTCTCTCTCTATATTAAACTGCTACTTAATACTTTTTATATTCATTTCTTCATCAGAGTCAGAAATTTTGAAGCCATTAACTTTTATTGTTCAAGAACAGGGGATTTATATCTCCTTTTGAGTCAGCTGCTGGTCAGACTTAACCGCGGTGCAGTACTGCACAGACTGATAAGGTTAACTTAAATGCTTCCTTTTCATGGTATGATCTTAGAAAACATTTCTTCTTACTCTGCATAAGTAAAAACTACAACAGTATTTAAAACTATGTGGTAATCTACCACATTCAAACAGCTTTAATTAAAGCCAACTTAATTGGCTTATATAAATCATTACCTAAGGTGTTTCTCCTTGTCAAATGGTTATTCTTAAATGTATTGTTTTTCCTGGGCACGAGTGTCGGGTTTCAGAAGCAATAGTTCGGGCTTTCATTAAGTCAGAAAATTTAATTGTAGTGTCGCTGAAAGTATCATGCAGAATCTACCAGTAGCATAGCTTAACAGGGGAGTGGAATGAAAAGCTAATAATTTCGGGAGTGATGTTACAATTATTTACTTTTGCAATAAAAGCTGCTGCAGTATGTCCACATTTAAAATGGCAAAATTTTTTTAGACAGACACAGGAATAGCTTTGTGCTCTGGAGGCATCATCCCCAGTATCCATCTTTACAGGCAACTACTTTAAACAAAATTACTGATTTCTTTTCTTTCTTTACAGGGCTATTGTAATAGACTGTTTAAAGGCATTGAAAATATTAAAATACAGTATTTATAAGATACACAATTTGAGAGGGAACAATATATACATAACCTTCAGTAATTCTGTAATGTACAATTTTATTTACATTTCAGATTTTAAAATTCTGAAATTCAGTTCTGTAAACTGGATATTCATTACATTTTTCTGGCTTATTAAAATGCCATGTCGTTGTATTACCTGTGCTTCACATATTCAGTACACAAAGAATATATCCACTGTCTGATGAGCTAGGTATATTTAATTGATTTTTGTCAAAGGGAATAAAGTAGTTGGTGGCATTCTTTTACAGTGACTTGCTCTAAATTCAGTGCTGAACTTTTATTAGTGATGTGAGGATTTTTTTTTCTTTGCAGAAAACATTGTACAAAGAAGAGAGATTCTGATATAACAGGAAGAAAAAGCACCTTTTCCTTAAAATCTCACAATCAGATTCTGTTATCCAAAACTGTAGGAGAATTAATTCAGTCACTTCACATGTAACAGACGTACTTATAATTTATTCTTTCCCCTGTGTCCACTCCTCCCATAACTATGCTACTGAAAGTCACAAATTTAAATAGAATCCAAGTAATGAATTTTTATAAATATTCTCTAATCACTTCTTGTCTGAAGAGTTTAAGACTATATGCTCAATTATTTGCCACGTAGCTTTGGTACAAATTAACAGAGTGTTTGTTGCCATATTTTAATGAAACTGTCTTGTTCAAAAGAATGTGCTGGCAATGAAACAAACTTCTTGTAAATATAATTTGTATAATTTTTTTTTGTACTGACATTATTTTGTATGTACTGTATGTGTGTATGATTTTTATAGAATGTGCAAATAATGTGAACATGGAAGAAGATTTCAATATTGTTTTTAGCCATAAGCGGTAGTGCCAAATTTATATTCCAGTTTTGTACATACATGTGTTAGACATATGAACTTTGTAATAATAAAATTTATCATGAAATATATCCTGTTTGTTAATGATTTGCTCCTGTTCAATAGTATCAGTACTCAATAGTATTTCACCCGACTTATTTTGGTTCTTTGCGTTCTAGTCTTAAATGTTCAACAAATTGTTCTACAGATGGTAAGTTTTACTATGTAAATAGTTTTAGTGAAAGATGAAATGCATAAAAATGGCTCTTAGGGATGGTTTTAACTGTTCTCAGACTTATAAGTTCAGTATTTACTGTCTGTGTTTTTATTCCAGGTCATTCTCAGCAAAAAGTGGACCTTGTTCAGTCCACTTAGATAAGGGTGTATAATTCTGTTCTGGTGCACTATGTAGTAGCATTTAGAGCGTTAAACCAACATTTTGTGATTAGTACACAGTTCCACCTGTTAAGTATATTTTTAGATAAATGTGAGAGAGTGTTCTTACAATAGGGTCTTTCAGTGCCTCACTCCCCTTCCACAGTGGAGCTGTAACCACTGCCCTGTTACTTGACTTTTACTTCACAGGTAACCCAGAGGCTATATCTACAGACAGTAAAACCTAATAAATAAAACTATCAAAATCAACAAATAAAAAATTGATAGTGGAACCACGGTTCCGGAGAATCTGACGTAAATACGTCTTTGTATTTAAATTATATTTAGGCAATAAATACAATGAAAGGAAGTTTATATATATTAGCTTTATTCTAAATATTCCCTTTATACATGCTTTATAATTGAGTAAATAGTTTGATTAAGACATTGCTTCTTTAACTTGAATTATTTACGCTTAAGATGGGTCTGTGGTAGCTGAAATATGTTATAAAATTTGTACACTTCAGAGTATCAACATTTCGTACAAACACCATATCTATACAAGCATTGTAGTATAGATGTTGCCTCCTGTGAATATTCGTTCAAAACATTTATTTTGACCATTTGTGCTCTTTGATCCATGCTTGATAACCTTTGGTGTGGTACGTCGTTCACGTAGTGGTCTTCTGTAACTGTATCAATCTTTGATTTGTATAGTCTATGTCATTACAAGATGGCTTGCGGAAATTAGTATTTGAAACGTTTCGTGAAAGTACTACTTATTTTAGATATTTACCTTGTTAAATATTTATTATATTATCGTATTATGGGTTCGACGAAGAAGCATAAGATTCGCGAAACGAAGAAAAGGAAGCACCGCAGCAGAAGTAAATCTCGGTCTCCGGAAAGAAGCAAACATCGACATCACAAAAGACATCATAAAGATAGGAAGAAGGAGAAGATAATAAAAGATAAAAATGGGGAATTTATCTCCAAATACGACACGTATGACAGTGAAGGTAAGTTACGCTAATTCTGAGTTTAATTTTTTTATTACAGGTACCTATAATGATAACTTGGGGTATTCGTCAAGAACCTTCTGTATGTATGATGTAGTTTCACTGTATTTGGTACATATTTAATCTGAATTCTGTAATGTGTGGCATATATGCTTCAGTTAAGAATTCTTGTCTTAAAATATGCTGTCTATTTACATGTTGCTTGTATAGGTGCTTTGGCTTATGTTGTAGGCACAACGTCTAGTTCATCTGTTTTAAAATGTCTGCTCGAAGTCGCGTCACTGTTCAGTTTTATGCCATTTTGATTCGTCTTATAACAAGGGGAAGTGGTTAAATGTTACAGGCACAATAGTTGTGGACATTGCCCTACTAATAATCATGAGGAATTAATGTTTTATTCCTTTTATTTGTCACTGTGTTGTTGGTTCATTTCACTAAACATTGTGAAGTATTCGTGTCTCCTTATTTGGTCACTCTGTTTATTAGGGCAGCTTATGTATATTTCATATCAACAAATAATATTTATGTTTTTGTTGTTTTATATTTGGATGATTCTTTACTTTCCATTTATCTTCGCTTTCCTTGTCATCTTATTATCTCATTTCTCAAGGCAGTCTGTAGTATATCAGTATTTCCTTTAGACAAACACATACCAGTTTTTGATTTATTCATTTTAGTTCTTAGATATTCATTCATTATTAATTTATCTTTCTGTCATCTGTATTTATTTAGTCAGACAAATTAACAAACCACAAATAAATAAAATTAAGATTTATGCTTTAGTATAAGCAAAGAACACCTTAGAGAGACATTCTTGTTTGTCTGTTGTGGCTTTCAGCTGAAGAAGTCATGTTACCAACTGTTGATGGCCTTACAAAGTACAGTTTTAGACATATAATAAGTTGGGAACAAATTAATGAATCTACATGAAATTTGGTATACTAACATGATGGATGCTAAAATTTGTGAGGTGGGAAAAAGGTGATGCCATCATCTGTGATAGTGTCTGGGTTTTTATCATACATACAGGGTATACACAAAAGAATGGTGCCGTTTCAAAAGTTAATACAAAATTTATTTCTCACCTTACACGGGTATGTTGTGCCTGTGTAAGGTGAGAAATAATTTTTTTATTAGCTTTTGAAACCGCACCATTCTTTTGTGTATACCCTGTATATTTATTTTGTTTGTCCCAGAACTTTTGGGTCAGACCTCAATCTCATACATGACTGCCATTTTGTAAGGACGTAAATTGATGAAATTTGGGAACAGTGCATGGAGAAGAATATTTGGACTGTACAGGAAGTGACATGAGAATAAGAGATTACAAGATAAAACTTCAGTATATATTCTGTGTTTGGGACTGTATGCATTAAGGGACATGTTGAGTAATAATAGGCTTCAAGACATCTGTTGTTCCACATTCACCGCCTCATACTAAAGCCTGTACTTTACTGTGCTTTCAGTTTTGTAAGCTAGAAGTGTGTGCCCTTTTTCTTTAGAAGATCACATTGCCAAATTTTGCATTGTCTGCAGGCTGCACCCTTGTATTACGTTATTTTAAGAATCAAATTATTATTTGTGATTTTAACAAGAGACATCAGAAATAGTTTTGAGGAAAATCTGAATGTAGTCTTCAAAAAAAAATTATTAGTAGTATGGCCATTGAGGTTGCATCACAGATGCCAGAACTTTCGAATCAAATGTGATATTTAAGATTTGAAGTTTTTGCAGCTGTAAGGATAACATTTTTCTGGGTTTTTACACCATATAAGACTCTTAGGTACATGCCAGTGACCTGAAGATGGAGGCAGTATGTTTCTCTGAAATTTTGGTATTTACAGTGTCAAAACCCAGAACAACAACATTGTCATCCGTTGTTCTTGCTGCTCTCTGTCAGGCTACTGAAATGAGATTTTGAACTGTAAATTCACTGTGTTGATTTGTTCCATGCAGTCACAAATGTCAAGTGTTTGTAACAATTTTTAATAAAATCTGTCTTGTATCACAGATTAGCTAAAAAAAACTAATTTAAATCCACAGATGTTACTTTTATATAAAGACGGGTTCAGTAAAACAATTTAATATTTGCTTGGAATTGTAAGATGCAGTTGGTCGGTAGCTACATTAACATTCCTAGGTCTTTGAATTGATTCTTGGGTTTGTTAATGACACCCTTTTAGATGTTGAGAATGTGTGGCGTAGAATGGTCGGTAGGTACGAATTTGGAAGACGACAAGCGTATCCTTGTCCTGCTTAGGTACTGTTCCATCTAGTTTTAAGGGATGCATGTTGATTGTTAGGTTGACAGGTTGACAATTTTTGGTTACATGTTCCAACCTTAATTGGTCATCTTTAGGTGATTCGCATGATCCGAGCGATTGCTTTATAATTATTTGTAATAGGTATGTACTATGAAGAAACTGAAGAAAACCATAGAAATTTCAGAATATTTGGAAAGTTGTCCAGTATTCAAAAAGAAATTCCAGAAGATACAAAACAAATTTGCCTGTAACTGCCCACATTGTGACTGTAGAAGTGGAGTGATTTGTATCAGGACTTGTTATAGTTGGTAATAGATTCAAAATAGTTCTTGCTGATTGGTAAATGTTTAGAAACGGAGCACCGTAAAGAAGCAGGATGTTCGTATTTGGAATTTATTTATTTTCTGCTACCTTGAGAGGCATTTTAATTGTAGTGACATGATCGAAGTTGAATGGGAAATACGTGTAGCTTGGTATCAGACAAAGCGGGTGGAGGGGTTTCGCAGGAAATTGTATTTGAGGATATTTAAAATGAGGTAAAGCTTTTCTTTGTCCTTTGCAGTAAGTTTCATGGCTTGGAAAGCTAATTCAAACTTAAGGGTATTGCATATTATAGTGGTGCTTTACCATCTGTGCTTGGAAACACTTGCATGTCTGTATTATGTTTATTGACGTTGCAAAGATTGGCAGGAACGTTTTGAAATAAATGTTTTTATTAACTTGTAGATTGTAAGAATTGCTTTTGCTTTTAAGAGGGCTGTGTATGTGGCAGCGTTAAATGTGGGATGAGTAGCCGTGACAACATTGTCATATAACCTGAGGCTTTAGTAAGTGCTTTGATTTTTTTAAATGTGAAGTACAATTACAAACTTAGTAGGGATATCGCAGTCACTTAATTTGTGTCCTTAATTCTGCTGTAGCTTCATACCAAAAGTGAACATATACCATACATACGTGGTAAGTGGTTTTTTGTTTTGTTTCTTTAGCAGTTTAATTGTCTGTTTGTGAATTGACGACTGATATTTTAAGTCGAATACAAGGTGTCAGCAGTTTATGTTTTCAGAATACATGAAACCCAAATGACATTGGTTCACACATTTATGTCCCATTGTTCCCCCTTCTCCTCTTTGTCCTCCTTTTTGTAAAACATTTTATGTCTTAGCACCTGCAAGTCAACATACATGGCTGTGGTAGATACGCCGATCTCACCGTCATGTTGAGTGCGCGTTAATAAATATTGATATGCGTAATCCAGCCATTTATGTTGACTTGCCACATTGAAAGAAGGCTGTAATTTTGCCTGCGTTTTTGTCCGTTTTTTCAGAGTTATGCATTCCTGAAGAATGAGTCTTCAGGGCCTCCATTCGGAAAGCCTGTAAGACAGATGATGGTTGGAAGGTATAGTACTGGTTTATAGAAATCCACAATAATTTAGTGTCAGATGAAAGGAGTAATTCACTTGGTTACATAAACTGATAATGAATGGTTGTAAAAAGTGTGCACAAGTGTTTAAAACTATGAACCTGACTTCATTTGAATGCTCACTGGCTGTTCTTTCAGTGTTTTTATTTGTTAGCTGTAATCCATCTTTATTTCAGTATGCATTTGATGATTGGATAAAACTTGAGGAGGTGCTTTCTTATAAGAAATGCATCTAATGTTAAGGAATTGTATGTGACAGAGCCTTCAGACAGACCACATCTGTTTCCTTCTGCATTCTCAGTTATCCTTCTGTTTGATGATATGTAAGTTATAAATAAAATAAGACCGAGTTTGAGGACTAGATTTCTCACTCTCCGAGTTAGGTGCTGCTCCACTGTCTTCAACCTTATGACATGTATGTGTGTGCCGTTCGTAACAAAACCAGGAATTTATTGCAGTAGGAGCAGAATCAGCAGGCGGGAATGAAATGTAACCATTTTATCAAGCAGAGGATAAATTAAAGGGGTCAAGAAAGATGCAACAGTTTTTGTTGTTGATTTTGTTTGGTCAGGAGCCTAATAAAGATAAGTACCACGCTAGAGGCTTTTACACGTCATAATCGGAGAAGAAGACATCTTTTGTATCGTGCAAGAACAGCTTAAAGGACAGTAAATAAATTTTATGAAAGAAAATGACCCAGTATCGCAAATGTTGGTTTAGTAACGCTTGTATTTGGCCCCTTTCAAATCATGGCGAGGTTATCTGTGTGGCACTGGCCATCTAAATCCCATCTCTCGCCCTCTTTATCTCCCTCCAAGTGTCTCTGTGGTGTGCAGCTATAGCAGGACAGCTTTGCTTTTAGTATTTATTGACACATTGTAGTTCATTATGAGTAATCTATAGGTCAGAAGACAGATGTGGTCTCTGTTAAGATTTTAACTGATCCAGAAATGTTTTTAGTAATGTTTCAAGATCTTGTGTAAATAACTTAATTTTATTTCAGTATTTATTATGGAAGGCATAGAGAATTTCGGTACAGTGAACTAGGCTGGCTCAGGGTGTCAAGGCGTTTTTGGCGCTAGTATATGAAAATAGGTTTTTACCTTTATTTTTCCCAGAGTTTCAGGTTCATCGTGTATGTGGTTTTTAATACATGTTAACAAGCAGTAAAACTCTCTGAGGGAATCAGTTATCATGGCTGATTTTTTCCTTGGTCTTCCTCATTTTAATTGGGTGAATATCAGAATAGTACTGCAAAAAACCACAGTGACTTCTTCACAGTATAGCTTCAGCATTCTGTTTTTAAATAAACTG